TCTCTTCGTTGAAAAGAAAAAAAAAAAGAAACTATCATCTATAGTCTATACGATATTCTATCAAAACGATTTCATTTTTATATTTCTGTCAGAGAGTTTCACTATCGCCGGAGAATTTTGGAATAATGGTTCGGCAAATTTTAAACGAACGAAAATACAAGTATGCAACACGTGTTTGTCTCTTATCAACCTTGTACAACCTCCTTCCTTTCTCTTCGTTGAAAAGAAAAAAAAAAAGAAACTATCATCTATAGTCTATACGATATTCTATCAAAACGATTTCATTTTTATATTTCTGTCAGAGAGTTTCACTATCGCCGGAGAATTTTGGAATAATGGTTCGGCAAATTTTAAACGAACGAAAATACAAGTATGCAACACGTGTTTGTCTCTTATCAACCTCGTACAACCTCCTTCCTCTCTCTTCGTTGAAAAGAAAAAAAAAAAGAAACTATCATCTATAGTCTATACGATATTCTATCAAAATGATTTCATTTTTATATTTCTATCAGAGAGTTTCACTATCGCCGGAGAATTTTGGAATAATGGTTCGGCAAATTTTAAACGAATGAAAATACAAGTATGCAACACGTGTTTGTCTCTTATCAACCTCGTACAACCTCCCTCCTCTCTCTCTTCGTTGAAAAGAAAAAAAAAAAAAGAAACTATCATCTATAGTCTATACGATATTCTATCAAAATGATTTCATTTTTATATTTCTATCAGAGAGTTTCACTATCGCCGGAGAATTTTGGAATAATGATTCGGCAAATTTTAAACGAACGAAAATAACAAGTACGCATCGTGATCTAGCGTCGTCAAGTCGGATCGGATGCTCCACAAAATGAGAATAGTCACAGTACAGTTGATACGGGTCAATGGCATTTGATATTTTGATAACTAGCGGAAATTGAACATGTACGACTTCATGCTTGTAGTTTCATGTTACTGAGATTACTATCATAATAATTGAGAGCATAATGCAAGAGCCGTGCCAGCGTAACGCTATACATTTTGCAGCGAACGGTCTAATAATATCAGTGGCATCGAGAACTCTTAGAAACACGTATAACGAATTTATTTCGAGAAAGATTTTGTTATATATATTTTTCATACTTTATACCCAGAATTTATCGTATTGCGTACATACTAGGTACGTGCATTTTAATCGAATCATTTGCTGTCTGCAGACAAATTTAGTATATTATCTTTACGTCCAGTGTCAAGCTATTACTTGAAATTTTCATATTAATGAGAATATGAAAATTTATCACAAAATAAAATATCGTATTAAAATGAAAGAGTATGAATTAGGTCGACTGATTAAAAATTTAGTATCTTAGCTTATGTGTCAAGCTATTACTCGAAATTTTCATATTAATGAGAATATGATTGAAAATTTATCACAAAATAAAATATCGTATTAAAATGAAAGAGTATGAATTAGATCGACTGATTAAAAATGTATATATCTTAGCTTATGTGTCAAGCTATTACTCGAAATTTTCATATTAATGAGAATATGATTGAAAATTTATCACAAAATAAAATATCTTATTAAAATGAAAGAGTATGAATTAGATCGACTGATTAAAAATGTATATATCTTAGCTTATGTGTCAAGTTATTACTCGAAATTTTCATATTAATGAGAATATGATTGAAAATTTATTACAAAATAAAATATCGTATTAAAATGAAAGAGTATGAATTAGACCGACTGATTAAAAATTTAGTATGTATCTTAGCTTATGTGTCAAGCTATTACTCGAAATTTTCATATTAATGAGAATATGATTGAAAATTTGTCACAAAATAAAACATCGTATTAAAATGAAAGAGTATGAATTAGATCGATCGATTTCCAATGCAAAATTTCGTCGATGTTATATTTAATAATATAATTACTTAATATAAATAATATATATATAAATATATATATATATTTATTATTATATAATATATAAATAATAAAAAGAGATGATGAATGATGGGGAAATACAGATAGGAGGTCTACTAACGTAAAGCCAGTTAGAACATCCATCAATGTGGACTTCCCAGCACCGGATAGTCCCATAATCGCCGTAAGTTCGCCGGCTCTGAATTCGCCGCTCACATTTTTCAACAGTTCAGTCTTCCCTGAAACAAGACATTGACATTGACGGATATTTTTCTGGACGTATATATAAGTTATTGAACGATATCTGGCTTAAAAAAAAAAAAAAAACAAAAGAGAGAGAACAATGCCCACTAAATTATCAACGCACATTGAACTATCGGGAAGATACCATGTACCGCTGAACTTCATTTTCACGGTCATAACACGATATTTCCAATGTAAGCTGCAATAAATGAAGTTGATCTATACGCGTTATTTTATTTAATGAGAATAATATATTAATAATATATATTATATATATTGTATATATATTATTAACAATATATTATATATTGTTAATAATATACATAGATATGTATATCATATAATAATGTATATACCTACATAATATATATATTATATATATATATATTAGCTATCGTTAATAATATACAGTTAATAATAATATAATATGTATATTTTAAGTAATATTATTTTATTATTATTATTAATTAGGTAATATTATTTTATTATTATTATTATTATTAATTAGGCAATATTATTTTATTATTATTATTATTAATTGGATAATATTATTTTATTATTATTATTATTATTATTATTATTAATTAGGCAATATTATTTTATTATTATTATTATTAATTAAGTAATATTATTTTATTATTATTATTAATTAAGTAATATTATTTTATTATTATTATTAATTAATATTATATTATTATTATTATTATTAATTAAGTAATATTAGTATTTTATCTAAGTAATTAATACTAAGAACAAATATTAAACAAATATTGTTGATCCATATTACCTATCTACATAGATTGTTATATATTTACGTAAAATTTAGAGACACACGCGAAACTTTCAGAACGATTTTTTAAGCAAATTGTAAAAAAAAAACGACGAATCCCCGCGTCTCTTCAGAGATTGCTTTACAAGTTTCTAAACTTGATACTCGCTGTTTGGAAATCAATCCGTGGGTTAGGCTGAGAAGGGCTTCTGGGACAGGGAAGGGCTTGCCAGTCCAATGGCCGTGTAAATCGCGTAACACGTACATGGTTTTAAAGAGGAAGAGAAGGAAAACGAGTGAGGAGCGGAGGCTGACTAGATTAGAAATGCAATCTACAGTTGTTACGAGTTATGTAAAATTTCTTGCAAACATGCACTGTGCAATCCATACTTTCACTTAGCGATAACGCCGGATTTCTCTCGCGTTGCCTCAAGAATTTCGGAACTGTTTGCCCCAATTGGATTATCTTCCCGCGAATAACCGACGGTACTAAAAATCAAAAAAAAAAAAAAACAAATAACAATTGCAGTTGCGTGCTGGACGAATCTAAAATGACGCCAAGCCGCCAATTCGCACAAGTATATTATTAATCGCCGATAATGAAGGCGCATAAATAATTGCTAACTCGTGCTTCACTTGTTTGCCTCGTTCTATTTTCATCCGATCATGCGATCTGGAATCGAATTACACCCGATGCTCGCAAACACGGCTCGCGAGTTTCGCGAAAAGCCAGAAAACTGTTCTCGCTGTTTGGTCGCGAGACATTAATTAATCCAGAGAGTGAAATGAAGAAATGGTGGGAGAAACGGATAACTTTCCAACAGATATATCTCTGTTTTTCAACTTCTATCGAGGTTGTGCGCCGTGTGTGTGCTTTCTTTGTTTATTTAAACTACTTTTTAAAATTTAAAAATTTTCCTTTCGTTGAACATCGCCTTCAATAAGAAAGGCTTTTCACTGCGCGAGGAGAGACGAAGACGAAAGATACTGCTTGTGATACCATTGACCGCGACATAATAAAGGCCTCGTTGAGTCCATAACGGGCAACTCTGGCTCCATTATACCTTCTAAAGAGAGTATCATCAACGATCTTTATTATTCTGTCATCCCCTTTCTATCCTCTCTGTTTATTAACCGTCTCAGGGTTAATAAACTCGTAAGGGACGTATGGGTGGGCAGCAACACACGCACGAAGTTCGAGCGTGCATACTAGTCTATATTTATACGCTCTCGAATTGAATTCTCAGACATTCGAATTTGGAGAGCGTGAAAACAGCTCCTATCATTGCAATATCATTTCAATATTACTTATTTGCCGCGATATTGTCCGTTGGGATGTAGGAAAACTATCGTTGCATATCATTTGACGTATTTTTATCTAATTCTGTCTGCGCGTTGTTAACGAGGTAGGTAGATAAATCATTTGGATAGTAAACGATCGTGAAAGAAAATAATTTCAGCTTATCATTGACTGTCTGAATGACAGATTTATTGCACAACTGTTCGAATTTATGTATTTTCATATACTATAACTATTTTGTAAGTGAGTATTTTGATCGGAGATGTTTTTTTTTTTGTTTCTGACGGCTATCTGTCCGGTTCAGTAACATAAATAATTCAAAGTGATAATGAATTAAGTGAGAACGCGGTTTTAAAGCTAGCCGTAAAATTTAAAAATATCTCTATGAAAGAGAAAATGAGAATAAATATGAATTGTTATAATATGAATATACTATATAAACACACACACACACACACACACACACACACACACACACACACACACACACACACACACATATGTATATATTTACATAATTATCGATATACAGCTTGAATGTGACTAATGAAATTGCGTAATCGATCTGCGTTTAATTAAAATCATTACCTTACTCGCACCGAGCGCGAACATATTCGTCAACAAAAGCAGCCAACATCGAAAATCATTGTCCCATTAACCACGCTGATCAGATTCAATTTCGTCGATTTCATTTCGTACGATAAAATTCCAAAAATATTTTGGCCGACAGCGAACGCATGTCAATAACTACACTGGAGTCGTGCGTCGAACATTTTGACTTCGAACAGACGGTTCTATTATGCTATCTGGCTTTATCCGATAAGAACTGACCAGATAACGATTTCTATAAATAAAGATTCATCAAATATATATACCGTTCCTCCCAAAACGTATACAGAAAACACGCTTTACGTTTCATTTCCGTTACGAGGAGAGACCTTGAGCGGAAAAATTTACATCGGCTATTGGCATATATTTTTATTTTTATTTTATTTATTTATTTTTTATTTTATTCTATTTATTTTATTTATTTATTTTTATTTTATTCTACTTATTTTATTTATTTATTTTTTATTTTTATTTTATTCTATTTATTTTATTTTATTCTACTTATTTTATTTATTTATTTTTTATTTTTATTTTATTCTACTTATTTTATTTATTTATTTTTTATTTTTATTTTATTCTATTTATTTTATTTATTTATTTTATTCTATTTTATTTATTTATTTTATTTATTTATTTTTATTTTATTTATTTATTTTTATTTTATTTATTTATTTATTTATTTTTATTTTATTTATTTATTTATTTTTATTTATTTATTTATTTATTTTTATTTTATTTATTTATTTATTTATTTTTATTTTATTTATATATAATCCTTGCCTAGGCGGCTCAGGATGGCTTCCGGTTTACAATCCGGGTCTGCATTCTCCTTATTTTCTACTCGGCTATTGTTACATAAATTGCGTGGATATCCACAAAAATCCGGTAAAGGGAACCGGAAGTTTCCACGCGGAAAAACGATCATTTGGAGATCAATCGCGTTTAGAGAAAGTTTAACGAAACTGCAGGTAACTTACTCCCGGAAAGTAACCACGGCCTGGCAGTGTAAGTAATATCCTCGAAGACTAGAAAAATTGAATTGTCGACGTCCATCAAGTCCTCTAGCTGCTTGGTGCTGGTCGGTGGATTTTCAGTGCCGGTGACAGCCTGTCTTAGCTGCTGTTGCATCTCGATGAGTACCTTCGTCCCCATTTATTTCGTCTTTCTCGATTCTTCGCATTCGACTTTTCACCGCTCTCTCTCTCTCTCTCTATCTCTCTCTTCGTCTGAATGGCCAGCGCGACTTATCAGCACTAGAGACACACATGAAAACACACGCATATAAGGATGGTGCGCGAACAAGGGAAGAAACGAGAGACCGTGTTCGGTATAAGTGGCCGAAGAGAATTGATTGTCGCGGCGTGGGTGGACGTTATTCAAAGCCGACCGTGTTTCGTCCGCGAGAATCATACACGCTGCCGTGCCATACAATTTAAAATATCTCTCTCCGCTCCGATCTAAAATGAACGCGTTACAACACGTTACGGCATCGCGACGTTTCGACGAAACGCGAGCACAATACTTCAAGTTAATTTTAACGCGACTACTAATGAACGATTAAGAAAATTCTCGGCCTAGCGTTATACGCATTCTCTTCAATTTGAATTGCAAATACCGATATACGTATACATAACGATGAATCCGCGACGAAGCACTGTCATTCTATTTTGTCGTGGAACAAGCGAAGTGTATTTGAGGATTTTAAGCGATTTGACTTTTAAGCACTTAGACTGGCAAATTTAGAATTAGAGAAATCTATGTTCGAACAATATTTGTAAAGCAAAAGTATTTATGACGCTTGACTCGCTGGACTGGTTCTATTATCAGTCTGTTTATGTGCCGTTGCTTGGTAATCTCTTCGAGATTAGGAAGAAATAAATTGTCTTCAAACAATGCATTCATCACACGGACTCCCTAACTTGTTTTAAATTCTTTCGTAAATCCCCGTGTAACTTTTGAATAGGAACAGTCGAAAATCATGTTTCACTCTTATTTCGTAGTTCAATTTGTAGACTATGTTTGCGCAAATTTATACTTTTATATATATAAACGCGATCAACATCAGCAGAGAAATCTGAAGATAGAAGTATCGTCGTTACGACGATTGAAATCTACGAAAATGCGTCTAAATGTTTCAGATCTTGCGAGCTAATCGCTGTGTGTTACGGTTATAGCGGTTAAAAAAATGGAGGAGATGAAACAGAGAAAGTTCATTTCTCGTCTACTGGACCGAATGATGTAAATATACACTTTACTAAATAATTTAAATACTAAACTAACTAATGTAAATATACACTTTGCTAAATAATTTAAATACTAAACTAACTAATGTAAATATACACTTTGCTAAACAATTTAAATACTAAACTAACTAATGTGAATACACTTTACTAAATAATGTAAATACATTCTCAACGTTTCTCTTCACTTTTTTAAATGTTTCCCTCATCAGACGCGCAAAACATTCACGATCCAAGCGCTGTTCCCCCGAGAGGCACGTACCGTCGATATTTTCACTAGAATAAACACTGTACACTTAATTACAAAAGAATGATAAAGCGTTCCTGACAGAGATACTGTATCTACTTTTACATTACATGAGACGGCTCTCATATTATCCGAGGTGACGACGTGAAGCGCATACAAAGTTCACGGCACGAGGACAGCACAGCGAATGAACAGCCTGAGATGGTCTTGAACAGACTGCTCGATAGAAGAGGCGCGGTGCTGTACTGTCACGATTGAGCGACGAAACAAAAGCTTCATGTCTCTCCCTCCTCCCACCTCCTCGTCGTTTAATAACCACGCGTGTTAGAACGCAGCGAAGTTTTGGACGACCAACTTGCTTCTCATCTCGTCGAATTATTACAGTTTCCCTATTTGTCGAATGTTGCAGAAACCTACATCGCAATTCGATTAATATTATACTGCAAGTCGCAGGCTGCAGGATGCCACGAATTTTGTAAATTCAGTAACATTAGACAGGAAGTATACGCAATTTTATTTGGGTGAGGTTATATTACTCTTTACTTTCAAAGAGCAACATTATAGAATAGGTCTTTTTATTTTGTTATGTCGTTCGTGTTATATTTTGTTCATTGTTCGAAGGGGCTTCGTTAAATTTTTTTTACAAGCTTCAATGTGTGGATGATGAACGATAACGAGTAAAATTAAAGAAATGAGACGAAATGTATATGAAGAAGAGAGAGCAGAGTTTGATTTTTGTATTAATTTGTGTAATTTTCTCAGCAATTATTTCTGTGCTTCTAATGTTATTTGACAGATTGAATTTGTTAAATTCAGTAAAGATTGAAGGTTAAATCTTTACATTTGAGATATAAATTACTAGTAATCGAGTTTCTCCCGAACGTATATCGCAAGGTTACTGGTACAAAGGATGATTCATATTTATACAAGATAATAAAATATACAACTGATATATTTAACAATATCTGGAAATTAAACAATTTTAAATTTACACAGGAGAAACATGCAAGTAATTTTGACAATTCAATATGTACTATGAATCATTACGTATTTTGATTCATTGAGTAGTCATTTTCACGTTGTTGGAAAATAGGAAAACTCGATTGTCTTATGAAAAAAGAAGAAAACTTAGAAATTGAAAAGAATTTTCAACGTATAAATAATGAAAATTATACTCACCCGAATAAATATCAAATCATAAATGTTTTTCTTCAAGCAACGAACGAAATCATACGTTTACGGAAACACTCGTGAAATTCTCAAAAATGTTCAATTTATAATTTCGTCGCACGATTGTTTATCAGATGCTATCAGTTTATAAAATATCTACCTGCTTAAGGATCTGACTCTGTGATAAATAACAGGTGTGCAGTCTGAATTGTACGAAGTCACTTAAAAATTTATTATTAATTGTTGCATCGAAATACGTTTATCTTTCTAATCGGTACGCAGCTGTAATCCTTGTAAGTTGCCGATGTTGAAACTCTTGAATCACATTAAAACACCAAATCAAAATTCTTGAATCGATAAGTCAAAATATACATATACATATGTGTGTATATATATATATATATATATATACATGCTACATTAAAATATTAATGTATAAAAACGTTATGCGACTAAAAGAAAATACCAAGAAAGGAGAAACTGTTCATTTATACTCCGTTAATGGAAAAGGAACTATGCACTACAGATCTAGCCAAGATACCGTTTACTTCAAGTACTGCTGCACCATAAGTGAAACTTTAGTACCACCTCTCTCTAGGCATCACGTCCTTGTTTCAACACAGTGTTAAAAGTACACTTGCGTCTATGTATCAGCTGATATTAAACTGCGAATCCAACAAGTACCAGGTTTATGTGAAACTCACATGCGTATTTGTTTATTGTTATTAACAGCAATAGTTTGCTAAAAAAAAATTTCTTTTTACAATTAGGATGTGCAATCTGTAAGTGAAGATCACTTGCAAAGTTTTGTTCGCTTTTTGTCATTAAATTCAATTACTCATTTCATAAACGTATTCTATTGATATTAGTAATTTGTACCGTACGACTTCTAGAATTTCACTAATTAACGTTGAATTTCGTAAGAGGGCGTGCTTGGAAAATTCTCAAACTCTTCGTATTTTGATTCACTACTCCTAACTTGCAGCAAGTGAAAGAGCCTTCCGAAAGTAGAAATCGTATAATGATACACGCATGTGACTCTTTCGAATGTTTATGTCGAGCAACTTTTATCTTAACAATAACAAACGGCACGATAGCTCTTAATTTCATAGCGATTGAAAGATATGATTGTTCTTGAAATTCTTGAAAAATACGGTTGAGTTAAAAGTGGTGCGAGCAATGTAAATAATAAGGTTAAATATTTGATGCAAAATGCATGCTATCTCTAAATCATCAAGTGTATTAATCTTTCGTGTAATCGTGAAAAATAACTCTATGTTACATAAAGTAATTATAAAACCATGAAATAAGTATAGAACCCTCGTTAAGATTTAATTGGCGTATCGAGTTTGTGCATTTAATCATCGGATTAATTGACATTTAATAATATTTAACAATTATCAAAATGACAAAAACGATGCAAAAAATATATATATATAATACAATGAAACATATTCTACAAAGTTAAATCATTGAATAAAGATAGAGTAGATATAACGACGTATGGAATTTCACGTTGTTAACTAGGAGAGATGCAACAACAGTGAAGCATCAATTCATCTCTTTGATTAGTTTTCTCAATAAAAACAATTCGAATTAAATTGGGCTTCACAGATCGAATAGCTTTTAAATCTATTTATGGTAAACGAAAATTTGGTCGATTCAAGGGTATTGAAACACTGTTGCCACGTAGCGGAGGAATGACGAAACTAATCGCTATTATCATTTTTGTCGCACATAATTGTGTTCTTTGTCTATCCTATAAATATTTGAGCCTATTCCATATAACTTAGGTGCCATCTATCGTGTAATATGCAGCAAATACGCACGTCATTTAAAAATGGAATTAACTATATATTTGACATACACATTATATAAACATCGTCTATGATTATATTGATATCACATCCATCCATATACTTCGTCTGTAATGATATAATGGAGAAGTATATTTCCTACACGATTTGCACTTGTTACATTTGCGTTAGGCGAAAATAGATTGCATCCAGTCGAAAAATCTTTGATACGTACATTGAGACATCTATACCTGGCCTATATTCAATGGTTTTATCTGTGAAAACATTCATATTCCGACTTTGCTAAAATTTTGGAAACATGTTCATTTTACATGAAGACGTTTGCAAGAAGGGTTTTCGACAAATAAAAGAAGGTGACTTTAAGAGGCAAAATTTTTGCGAAAACCGGAAAAGACGACTGCACCAGTACTATACAGAGTGACAGATTGCTGCCATCTTATGGTGATTCAACTAACCAAATTCAATCTAACATTTAATACTTTCTGCGAAATTTTGCTATTTCTTCAGTTGCCAAAAACACTTTTCTCGCGGTCATTCTTTTTTTTACCATAAAAGAATTTATTTTTCAGTTGAAACATAGCCGTTACCAGAAGTACAATCTTATATTTTTAAGAGCAATATTTATTATAATTATTAGCACTACTAATAATTAGAAATTAAACACGCAAAATATGAATAATGTTCATATATCTGTTATATATAAACGAAAATTGTTTATTGACTTGGACCGGAACGCTATCTTACTTATAATTAATCTTAAAAGACGACCAACTTATTTTTTGACTATAATATAATTATTTTCTACATAAATCAATATTATATCACAGACTTATAAATTAACATTTAGTACATGTCAACAGAGATTAGTTAAAACGTAAAACGTGCAAAGGTAGTATCAGTTTCTAAAAAATATAAAAATTACAGTATTTATTGTTGCCTTAAATTAATGTCTAGTATGGCTGCTATTCTGGGACTATTATACAATTATTGTACAACATCGTTACACGTATTTCCTTACTGACTGCAAGTTATTGCGATTTACTGTATACTCTATGGCAATTGTATATATTTTAAGATTTATTGTGTCATTGTGGGAGTGATATATTTATTGTTAGTGCAATCATTATATATGGGAGACAGAACTCCATAGTTCAAATTCAGCACTGTGTTTCAGAGATAAATTTTACATTTAAGTTTGAGCTTGAGCTATGAAAAGTCTGTCTCCATTTCGTAACTGCAACAAATACAATAAGAACTATTTAAGTTGAAAACCGAGACATGCATGCTTTGGGTATGTTCGTCGCGGGTAGTGCAGGATAAATGATTCGGACAAATATCGTTTGTTGACACTTTTATTTGTAGTCACAATTGACGTGGAACTTCGTTCACGGCGTATCGCAGAGTTTATACGCACTCAAAGACGGCCCCGAATTTCCGTCGTGTTCCTATCTTTGACTCGATGGCTGTTCGACTTGTTCTCTTGACTTGTTGTCTAAAATCTCGATGGCCGTTCGACTTCATCTCTCGTCTTCGGAACTTGTTCGCTCCGAGGAAAACTCGGTCCCCGTCTCGGGCATCCCGAATTGGCTAAACCGTTAGGTTTTGATCAATTAGGTTGTCACGAAATTGCGCCGTCTACTCCTTGCGTTCGAGACGCATTTTCTTGAGAGTGGGGCTGCAATTTCGCCGGGACCCATTTTCCCCGAATTGTGGCGGTGTAGCAGGGTTTCCTCTGGGCCTCACTCACTTTCTCCAAGTGCTTTCCAGATATTGATCTGGGTGGCCCTTAGGAATCCAAGAGTTTACGACGCTTCGCAGGAATGCTATTGAGGCTATATTTCTAAAACTATAAGTACGCACATTCGGTCTAACGCACTACAAAACTGACTTTAGCCTCTTCAATTCAATAACGTCGGCGCCACGTGAGTCGTAAATTCTTCTAACTTTTCTGTCTGAGAAAACGTCTTTCCTCCGACATCTGCTAGCCGCTACAATGCTACGAAAAGTGGACGGCATTAAGGCCAAGGACGGGTCTCCAGTGTAGTCACCTCCTCGTGGTAAGATTTGATAATTACCGTTTTACACACTTCAATGTTTCAAGCTAAGAATTCCATAACATACAGTTCAGTTTGTCGCAACCTCTTTCATTTGATTGGGTAAATTGGCCTGCAGAAATAATTACTTATTAAGTAAATTATTGACAAAATACGAAATTCAATCGAAGAGTACATTCCTGGTTATCGACACAATCGCTTAAAGAA